TTAATACCATCTACAAAATAAATTGTATGAACTGTAACAAGCATTATATCGGCCAAAGTGGGCGTCCCCTTCGAATCAGAATCCAAGAACATAAATCAGCCGTGAAAAGACATGATATGAATTCTTTAGTATCAATGCATGCAGACAACTATGGTCATCAGTTTGATTGGGATCATGTCAAAATCTTAAACAGAGGAAACACAAAAAGTGCCAGAGAATTCCTAGAGGCCTGGTACTCAAGCGAAAATGCGATTAACAAACACGTTAATATAGATGAAGTATACCAATTAATAAAAAGTAAGTCAGGTGACCAAAAAGTTTAAAATCCTAGTCAATAGAAAGTGGTCAATACATATGTGAAGATAGTAACCAGGAGACGCAATTACATCACGCATGAGGAAATTTAAATCATTTCACTTCGTGCTAAATATGGCGCTGAAGATGTTGTCCGGAAGGACGACGAAAGCTTCGCGACTAAACCAACCAGCTCAGAGAACGCTTTTAATTGTAAATCATCCACCTGAGCTACAAATCTTCTCTATTATGTCGTGTATTTCTCGAAGGAGAAAAAGAAGAGATATAACATGATGGATTGGTTTGCTTATGTCCTACGATCTACTATCAATTAATCATTTATTTGAAGATTCTAGCCGAAGAGAAAATACTATGCGTAATGAACTGCGCTGAAAATTCTATACATTATATAAACATTGTTCAGAATGAAGGTATTGTTGGTGTTTGAATGAAATGAAGGCATACAGTGATATTTTGGTATAAATGTTTTCTTCTTTGAAATGCTTTGATAACATTCGATTTCTTTCAATATTATCTGTCTGTCTTCGACACAGAACTTTGTACCGATATGCAGCAGTTCAAGTTGCCACACTCCACTCCATTTACCACACAAAACAAGAGGAATGCATAATAGAGACAGCAGACAGGGATATGAGACAAAAGGAACAGTAATAACGAAGAACAATATAGTTTCATTGGGTATTATAAGTCACAAAAAGTGGAAGCATCAGAGCCAGCCATTGAGAACGATCACTTTGAGCATATCACCAATTGTCTCCAGTCGTCATTGGTTTCTACCATCCCGAGGACCCCAACCAGTCAGTCAGGCAGTCTACACCTTCCTACGTGGCTGTCTGGCTTAAACTAACTGTTGTGGATTTCAGTGACTGATGAAGCAATGTTTTTGGTTTGGTCACCAGTGGCTTTCTCTTTCCCAACCTAACGCTATGTCAGCTAGCATTGCCCGTCGAGGGAGACGATGACTAGGGATGCATACGTAACACATGTCTTAACCATCTCAGTCGATGTACCTTCACAGCATTCTCGATTGATCTCCCCTCCCACCCAACTAGTACTCAACGCCTAACCTGAGTATTGCTCACCCTATTATATCACTTCACTTCAATATTGAGTAAATTTCAATGGATATCATTCGTTGCTTAGCATACTAGAGCATATAACTGCAAAACTGTCCTAAATGATCGAAATTACTAATTACTTACAGTCTGAGTAGGAGAACGCTTTAATGGACTGGTCTCGTGCCTGAGGATCATGGATCAGCAATGATGAAAAAGCTTAGACTAGGACGAAACAGGCGTAAAATACTTCCCAACTTTTGTGTGCCAATGATTCAAGGATAGAATGCTTGCCAACCCCACTACTCACGTGGTGAGAGTTTGATTACCAGCCAACTCTATCCTAAACCTCGCTTATCCGCTAGTAAGGTTGGTGGGTTTGGGGGGGGGCGGGGAGAGGCAGTAAAGCTTTTAGTCCCACTCTGTGGAAAAAGGAACACTACGGCTACTAAAAAACTTTAAACTTCATATTTGAAGCTCTATGTTCCATTCACTCGAAAGTTAAAAACACCATTACCCTCCGCCATTGCCGCCGCTCTTTCTCTCACAAAGGATAGAAATAAATCCATCTAAAAGCAAAATCAATAAAATAAAATAAATGACACAAAATTTAAGACTTACACAAAACCACAATGTAATGATCCAATATGATGATGTTTTCTATAGGCATCATTCGACTGTAATACTTTAGCACTTTCATTAAATAGAAGAAATTTATTATCAGGACGTGGACCAGCAATAATATTCGGCAGAGAACTTTCTCCTCCATGATGATCCTCTCCAGTTGATTTTGCTTTACATACTTCAGCTGGATAAATACACTTCACTAATGGTTTACGATAATATCCCACTAAGGTGTAATTCAACTCTGCAATACATCGAATTGCGGTAAATGCTACTTCCGTCTGTTCACATTTCATTAATTCGAACAGAGTATGAATAAATTTTACAGATGGTGGACACAACACTGGTTCAGTAAGACAGTTCACGCTGGATTTCCATTGTGGGGATAAGGGTTCATTCATAGGGAAATGTAAAATTTGCAATAGGGTAGTTATAAACATCCAACTACTATTACAACTACTCACAGAATTCAAATTATCATCAGTAGTAGTATCGTGTGGTAATGAATCTTTGCTGGATATTTGTAAATTTTTACAAAAATTTGAACATATTTTAACAATATATTCAGAAATTTTTTGTGTATATAGGGTTAAGGCTTCAATACGCTTTTCAATGACTTTATTGATTAGTTGATTCGGTGTGTTCAATGTTTCAATGGTAGCGTTAAATGTTGAATTATTACTATTATTATTATGTTGAAATGCATGATTTAAACAATAATCAATTTCAATAAAAATTTTAGATAACCAACTATTTGGTGGAAGTTTATCCTTTGTTGGAAAATATAATATCACATCAATAGGAAAATGTTTAAATGTACGTAATATCTGAGTGATTAAATGTTCCAATTGATCACGATTTGTTTGAAGTTGTTTTAACTGACGTTTTCGTTGGTGTTGTTGTCGCTGTTGTTGGTTATGGCGGTCTTTTGATTTTTGTCTAGTATTATCCTCACGATAAGGTGAATTGTCATCAATCGGATCATCGTCATCGTTATTATCAGCATCATCACCATTAACGACTTCATGATGAATAGTATTCACAGAAGGGTGGAAATCATTAAACCAAATAGAATTTTCTTTTTCATAATTCATTAATTGTTGAATAAGGCATAAACAGAATTGCACAAATAGACACGGATCTAAGCGGAATAATTCATCATATTCCCGATCAGTATGATGACGACAAAAGACACGTTTACATAGTGTAATAGCAGATATACGTCGAAAGTGGATTAACTTTTGCTTGGTTTCAAGTGAAGAAGCAATTAACGATGAAATTTGCTGTGCATGTGTATTTGTATTCAAGGTGGATAAAGATGAAGACGATGAAGAACCTGATGCTGAAGATATTAATGATGCACTAGACGAAGATATTGAAGCATTGATATCAGGGATTATATTGTCTAAACGCTGGATCATTGATTTCAATAGTTGACTACCAATCTAAACAAAAAAAAGGGGGAGAGAGAAATTTAAACACCGTAAAAGAAGCTGTGGGTGTTGTTCAAAAACTACAGATTTTTATAATTTTTATTTTATTTCTTTACGTTCCCAGTGGAACATAGGGCTCCAAGTTAGAACAGTGGTATTTATTTTTACAGGATCGGGTTGCTAGCCTCAACTGACTCAACCATCCCTCTTTACCATACTTATTATTGGCTTAGCCATGGCCATCATAAACAAGCGATTCTTTTAACAGTGACTATCCCATTGCCTTTCTTATTCAAACCTCCTGTTTATTCATGTTATTAAGTTTTTCTTAGTCCCTCCACCATATATTTATTTATTTATTTATTTTTTTGATTATAGCTTGATTCCACAACGTATTTTTGGTACAAGTATGGAATTTTCAGCATGTGATATCGGTAGCCCAAATTTGCAGGCCAACCATTGATATCAGGTGTGCGTCGGCAGGGGATCCAACCAAGGACAATGTACATGGTCGGCGAGAGTCCTAACCGCTGTGCCACTGACGCACACTACCCATATTTTCATATTTACGCTTCCTGTCTATTTCGTCGTTTTATCATTTCCACATATTTAGTCCCTGACTGCATAAACGATTATTCGTCACACGAGTTATGATCCCACTAGATTTTTTTATCCACATATCCTGTCTATTTTTGTTATTTCTACATTTCTAACCCCTAATTGCACAATCAATGTCAATCTTCTCAGTAATTATGATGCTACTTTGTTTGAGTTTTATCCGTCCCTCTCCTCGTGTTTATTGTGGCATTTTAATTCCTAATTGTAATTTTATTAATTCGACGCTTGACCGGAAATTATTCTGGAACTTTCCCACCCATTTATACTATAAATGCACAGGTGCTAGGTAAGGAGGGGAAATCAGTCGACGAGACTGTGAAATTACATCGACTGAGATGGTTAGGACATGTGTTACGTATGCATCCCTAGTCATCGCCTTCCTCGACGGGCAATGTAAGCTGATATAGGGCCAGGCTGGAAAAGAGCTAGCAGCGGTCAAACGAAAACATGGCGCCATCAGTCAATGAAATCCACAACAGTTAGTCTAAGCCAGCCATGTAGGAAGGTGTAGACTTCCTGACTAGTTGGGGTCGTCGGGATGGTAAAAAACCAATGGCTGCAAACAATCGGTGATACGGCTCAAAATCGTTCTCAATGGCTGGCGCAGATGCATCCACTCCTTGTGACTTATGATTTCCAATTAAACTATATTGTTCTTCGTTATTACTATTCCTTTGTCTCACACCTCTGTTTACTGTCTCTGTTTGCATTTCTCCTACTTTCTTCTCTTGCTTTGTGTGCTACATGTGGGGAATGTGGCGACTTGAACTGCCGCACATATGTGCAAAGTTCTATGTCGAAAATAGACAGACAGACAGACATAAATACACAAATGTACAGCTATCATCTAGTTGACGGTGACTTCGTCGAAAAGAAGATTTTCTTCGCTGTAACTAACTGTCTTTTAAAAGTTAAATCATAACAAACAAAACAAAAAAAAAAGCAGATAACTTACAGATGGACATTTTCTAATTAAATATCCATTTAATAATGATGTAGCAATTTGTCTAATATCCGATCGACGTGGTGATATCGCTAGACGAGTTAATATTTCAGCAAATTGTCTTATCGAAGGCGATGGCAGTAGAATATTAGCACAAGCAATTGAACGGCATATAAACTGATTATTACTATTATTATTATTATCAACACTTTTAACATTCAGCATTAATTGTTTCTGTAAATGATGGATTAAGAAGACTCGAAAATGTTCATGTATACGTGCTGCATAAGTGATAAATGAACAACCAGAATACGTCTGTATCTCTTCACCAGTTTCATGTTTCTCGGCAATTGTAGTACAATAAACACCATTTAAACTGTTAATACTTGGGATTAATTTATCTATCATATCACTGCTGTTGCTGTTGTTGCTGCCGCCAGTCTCACGTGATGCTTGTTGATTTAATGGATGTACACAGTTGCGTGCTCCTAAATCAGGCGATAGCAAACCAAGTGGACCACGTACGATTTGTAATAACTGTGGTCGAATTTCATTCATGGGAATATTTAGCGCGGCACGATGAGTTATTTCCAGTAGATTAACAATCTGTACCGGTTGAATTAATAACCAAATCGATTTTGGACCAGTATCAGTATCTGTGAATAATAAAAAAGAACAATATTAAATGAGGAAAAACTTGGAGGATCTGGACTTCACCGATGATATATGTCTGATTTCCGACACACTGGAAGATATGCAAGCGAAAAGCAACAAGTTGGCAGAAGAAGCATCAAAGATAGAACTTCCTTCAGGTAAACATAGAGAACACAGAGGTGATGAAGATTCCTGGCCTACACCAACAGCAACTACAACAGACAACGATCAGCATAAATGGGAGGGACCTGAAAGAAACAACCTCCTTTACCTACCTGGGAAGCATCGTTTCAACTACAGGCGAACGGAACTGACGAGGATATCAAAGCAAGAATCGGAAAAACAAGACAAGATTTCATTACTCTCAATTCTGTGTGGAGGTCAACAGCACTACTCACCATGAAAAATAAGATCCGGATTTTCAACTCCAATGTGAAGTCAGTGCTACTCACTATATGGATCAGAGACTTGGCGCGTCATAAAGAGCATCTCAAACAAGCTACAGACCTTCATTAACAGCTGTCTTCGCTCAATACTCAAGATCAGATGGCTGGCCAGAAAAGATCAGCAACAGGGATCTTTGGGAGCGTACCAACCAGAAACCGATTGTGAAACAAATAGGCAGGAAGAAATGTAGATGGATTGGCCATACTCTGAGGAAACCATCAAGTGATATCACTAGACAAGTCCTCGAGTGGCGAGTTGGTCGTCAGATCGAGGGTGACTTGGAGAAGGTCATGTGAAGAGGAGATGAAAACGTGTGGGCAGACATGGAGCCAGGTGAAGACTCTAGCAGAGAACCGAACGCAATGGAGACGCACGGCTGAAGCCCTATGTTCCTCTAGGAATTAAAGGAAACAATAATAATAACATAATCATAAATGAGGAAAGTGTTAAGGCGATAAAAATAATAAAATTAAGAGGATTACTTATTTTCAAAATTAAAATTGAATGATAATAATAATAAGTTATTGAAACTAAATCATGATTGAAAAGTTTATGAAAATGCCCATAAGAGCCATTTTGTTAATATCAGTCGAGTACCATAAATTACTAGCTGTGAGACCTGGCCATTGACAGTGGAAGACATGAAAAGGCCGGCTAGCTGTCTTTGATCATAGGTGCCTGCCTTCTATCTCATGTGTGAAGTGGTATAGTAGGGTCAGCGATATTAAGGTTAGGCGTCGAGTGCTAGGTAGGTGGGAGGGGAAATCAATAGACGAGGCTGTGAAGCTACATCAACTCAGATGGTTAGGACATGTGTTACGTATGCATCCCTAGTCATTGCCTTCCTCGACAACAGACAATGTTAGCTGACTTCAGGTCAGGCTGGAGAAGAGCTAACGGTTGTCAAACCAAAGCATGACTTCATCAGTCAGTGAAATCCACAAGTTAGTTCAAGCTGGCCACGTAAGCAAGTGTAGACTTCCTGGTTGGGGTTGTAGGGACGTAAACACCAATGGCTGGAGACAATTAGTGGTTATATGGTTCAAAATGATCGTTCTCAATGACTGGTGCTGAGGCATCCACTCCTTGTGACTTATAATTCCCAATGAAACTATATCGTTGTTCATTATTACTATTCCTTTTGTCTCATATCCCTGTCTAATGTCTCTCTTATACAGTTCTTCTACTTTCTTCTCTTGCTTTGTGTGATACAAGGAGGGAGTGTGTTGGCTTGAACTGGTGCACATCGGTGCAAAGTTTTGTGTCGAAAACAGACAGATACACTAACAGTCGGGAAGGCAGAAGGATCAGACGGAATTCTCCCGCCCCCAAATTAATGAAAACGTAAATCAGAGAAGATAGCGGATATGCCCATGCCAACATTGCAAAAAGTTTCGGAAGGATGGAAAGGTACCCTAGTGATTGGAAGGAAGGCTGGCTACCTTGTCAAGCTGCCAAAGAAGGGCAACTTAATGGCTCACTCTGCAAGAACTTGCCCAGAATCATACTCTTCTTCACGCCAAGTGAAATATTGAGTGGAGTCATCCTGGAGATAATAAAAAATGCACTGGGAGAAGAACTCCTTCCATTAGAAGAAGTAAGATTCAGGAAAGGCAAGTCCTGTGGTGCTGATCAAATTGCAACTCTAAGGAGCATAATAGCACAAACCATAGACTGCTAGTAAGACCTCTACTTTCACTTCATCGACTCTGGAAAGGCCGTCAACAGACAGTGTTGACCGCGAAATAATTTGGAAAATACATTAATACTGTGGCGTGCAGTACCCTAAATCTTTATAAGCCTAATTTTAACAGCTACATTACAACGGAAAACTCCGTAAGGCGTTCAAAATTCATACAGGAGTAAGACAAGCTGATTTCCTGCCTATTATCACCACGGATTACATTCTTAATTGTGGTGGACTGGATTATGCGTGAAACTGTGCTTAGGGAGAAAGGAGACAAGAATACGCTGGACCACCGATAAGAAGACTCCAGCGGATATTGATTTCGCGTGAGGGTGACTTATGTCTAGTGTAACACAGACTTGAAGACTTGGAGGCGAAAACCAACAGTGGCAGAAGTAGAAGGCGAAAAAGACTGGACTGCAAGTGAACATAGAGAAGACGGAGGTGATGAAAATAACTAACCAACATAAACAATAATACTAACAACCAGGAACAATCACCATCAACGTGAGATTTTTGACAGAAGTTACTTCCTTCACTTATCTAGGAAGCATCACTTCAACTACAAGCGAACAGGATGGGTGAACATATCAAAGCTAGGTGGAATCGGAAAGGCAAGATACGCCTTCATCAACGTGAAACCAGTTTGAACATCTTCTGCACCGACTCAGCCGGATAAAGAACAAGATTCAGCATCAGTGTTAAGTCAGTCACTTCTATATCGGTGAGAAACTCGCAATCCGCACACGTCACGAAAAGCATTTCCAACAGCCTACTGCAAAATTTTCACCAACAACCACCTTTGTTGGCTCCATACTAAATAGTTGATGGCCAGCGAGAAAGGATAAGCAGCAAAGAACTCTGGGCAGCGAGCCCTTCACTTAACATATGAGCCGAGAGGAAATGGCGGTGGATAGGAAATATGCTTAGGAAACGAATGAGTGACATCACGTTCCAGGCAGGCCTTCAAGAGGAACCCGATGAGGAAAACACTAGTCGGGTGTGTGTTTGATGAGGATGACATGAAGGAGATCATGCAAGAAGGAGGAGATGAAAGTTTATGGGCATTCGTGGAGGCAGCTGAAAAAAAGACTACAGAGAACAAGATGAAACGGGTTAATATATGTGTAAAACTTGGTCACTGTGGTAGTAAGTAATTCCACATTAGTTTGTTTATTAAATATATCACACAGTCAGAGAAACAGTATTATTTACTGGATGACGTTTCGAACAAAATTTATCGCTGTTCATAATCATACCAATCAATTATAATCACACGACTTCGAAACTTGAGTTTTATAGTTTTCTTTGTTCTGTCCTATTTGCCGTCGTAGGGGAAGTAGAATTTTCCAGATATCTGGGTGGACAGGTGTTAAATCATTCCTATTACACGTATTCTCTCTCAGTTAATTCGATAAACAAAGCTTCTGTTACCAATCTCTCTCCCCACACTGCCGTTATATTGAATTTCAAATCTGTCATCTTATGGTTGTAAGTAATTGCATGTAGTGAGTGCTATAGATGAACTATTCTCTAGATTTCATATCTTATTCGGGTCAAATAATCTAGCTGTTGCCAAGTTTTTATGCTCGGCTAGTCTGACTGCACCTGGTCTCCTACTTTGACCTATGTATTTGAACTGACAATCATTACAGACAGGGTATTAGATGAACTAAATTGTTTTGTTTTAAAGGCTCCACTGGCAGGATCCTTTAACCGACAAAGCTTCTTTCGAATTGAGTTTGTGGGGGGTGGTTTGAATGCTAGCCACTTCCCTTATTCCTACCTTGTTAAGAATTCTGAGGAAGATACGGGAGATGTGCCGCTGAAGTCCTATATTCCAGAGGGGTGGAGGGGGTAATAATAGGGCAGTGGGTTGTTAAGATAGCCGATACCAGTCGAGCATTTATCAGAAAGTGAAGAATAGTGTCAACATAGAAAACACAGAAAACTTTATCATCAATTCGACGACAACAGAGTGCACACATACACACACACAAAAAAACAAACAAATCCCATCTGCAGTATAAAATGATATCATCATTCTATTTCACAGGTTCTCATCAGCTGCACACCACTACCTGAAATTACAATGGTTATAAATAATAACATTTCATACTTCATTGTTTGAAAGGTAATAGAGAAAACATTATAAGATGAACGCATCCGGAATATAAGGAATTAAATTTTTTTTTCAGAGCATATTCCGAGAAACTTATGCTTAAAATGAAGCAAATATTTACAAAGTGCAATTACCAGACACCTTGTGGATACGGGCCATTTTGTCAAGATTTCCAAATCCTTCAAAATATTAAACACACAAAGGACAGCGAATCTACTACGATTTACTGCTGAAGCAATCGCAATAAAACGTCACAGACCAAACTTATGCACACAGACAGAGAGAGTGTAGTCAATCTCTCACTCCCTTGGTAACCATATCACTTTCATTACACTGATTACTCATAGACACTAGTGAGTTCAACTCACTAAGCAAGTTTTCAAATTGATGAACTTTGACTTTGTTGAGTTGCCATGTTGACAGTGTTTATTAGATTTTTCTGTTTTCTGTCTTCTCTCATCCCCTCCCCTTTTTTCTTCTTTTTTCATAGTTTGATAGTATATAAATTGATGGTAACCGAAACTATAAAAAAATTTAATTCCTTATATTCCGGATGCGTTCATCTTATAATGCTTTCTCTATTACCTTTCAAACAATGAAGTATGAAATGTTATTATTTATAACCATTGTAATTTCAGGTAGTTTGCAGTTAGCTGATGAGAACCTGTGAAATAGAATGATGACATCATTTTATACTGCAAATCTGGTCTTTCTTTCTCTATCGAAATTTATCAAGGGAACCAAATGTATGAAATCCCATCTGATTAAACAAACTTACAATGATTTAATTTCTCCATTGAACCATCATTATTCTCGTGTATATCACCAATCAAATTTTCATTATTATTATTATTATTATTATTATTATTACTATAATTATTATTATTGTCCATTAAATTGTCATCAGCTTGTTCAATTAACTTTGACATCACATCTAACAACTGTAAGCCAAGCCTTAACATTGAATCACGTAACTCCATGGCCAATTCATTGACACTCTCCTGCTGTTGTTGTTGGTCATTATTCATATAAAAATAAGTAATATCCCAATCAGATACAGAAGATTTTAAATCTTCACTCGGCAATATATGACAGGCATCATTTAAGCTATTCATTAGACTTTTTAATCCATGCCAAGGGATAATATCATTTCCGATAACCGAAGTAGTCGTCGGCGTCGTCGCTGTCGCTGCCGTTGTCGTAGGGATTTCTTGTTTCCGAGGAGCTAAAGCATCCGCTAGACCATTTGTAATATGATTCATCCAAATTGTCAACGTGGTGAATTCATTCTGTTGTTCAGCATAACTTTTCCCGCAATTATTCTGTTTGACAGCGGTCGTCGTGGCAGTAGCAGCAGCACCAGCATTTGTCTCGTCGAGGTTATTACAATGATTCTGTAGTAAAATCTTTAATCGATCACAAGTTCTATCTAATTCTTGCATAATTGGATATAAAAAGGCTTTAATGAGTTGTTGGCCTAGCGATTTTGTCATTATAGTTGGTATAAACCAAAAACTATGCTGACGTCGTTTATTATTACTCCCCTTATTATTATAACAGTAGTTGACGATTGATTTCAGATGGACAAATGGTGTCCACCACGAGGATTGTGCATAAGCTTCATCATGGTGATGATGACGACTGTTCAGCATGGTTGTGTCATTATTATTATTATCAGCATCACCTTCATCATCTTTAACACCGACACTATTTCCCAGTAGATTAAATCGTCGAAAATCAATACTATAACAGGTTAAACGATGCAGTAACATGCCTAGAAAACTTCCACAGGCTTCAGCCAGTGCAGGACATGCACTTGTCATTGTACCCTTATCACCATCATCAGAATTGTCACTGTTATTGAAACCAATTGATGCAGCTATTGCATCATCAACATCACCGATGAATAATTCATTCCACTGAGGTTTAACACAACATCCAGTTGATAGATAGAGAAGTTTACCGAGGATTATAATCAGAGGTTGAATAAATGCCGCATAGATTTCTGGATCAACTAGACTTTCAGCTGGTAAAGCACATATATAACCTGGTAGAATGTACAGCAGGGCGAGTAATCGAGGCTCTGGTCGATAATGATGAATAAATGAATTATCTAAAAGGAAGGAGAAGAAGAAAACAAAAAAGGGAATGTCAGTGTGTTATTGAAAACATTGAATAGGTTTTGTTTGTTCAAATCGCCTCGATTTGCGTGGGAGATATCAATGAGGAGGAGGAGGAATAAACAATCGTATTTTCCTTCTGCTCACTGATATTCCTCGTTTAACATGCATACTAGGCTGGCTGCCTACTATCTCCAATGATTTTCCTGACTGCGGTAGACTGGATAATGCGACAGACAGCGGGCAACGAGGAGAAAAGCATGAATTAGGGCCGCACAAAACAAACTTGGAGGATTTGGACTTCGCCAATGATATATATATCTGATTTCCCACAAACTGGAAGATATGCAAGTTAAAAGCAACAAGTTGGCGATAGAAGAAGTATCATAGAAAGATATGACTTCAGGTGAACATAGAGAAAACAGAGGTGATGAAGATTCCTAGCCAACAGTAATAGCAACAACACCAGACAACAATCAGTATAAATGGGAGTCTGAAAGAAGCAACCTCCCTTACGTGCCTACCTAGCTGGGAAGCATCGTTTAAACTACAGGTGGAAGGAACTCATGAGGATATCATAACGACGATCGGGAAAGCAAGGAAGACTTTCATTACTCTTAAGTCTGTGTGGAGGTCAACATCAGTCAGCACTCAGCATGAAAGTAAGATCCGCATTTTCAACTCCAATGTGAAGTCAGTACTACTAAACGGGTCAGAGACTTGGCCAGTGCGTCCCGAAGAGCACTTCAAACAAACTACACACTTTCATCAACGGCTCTCTTCGCTCAATACTTCTCAAGATCAGAGGGCCGACCAGAGAAGATCACCAACAGGGATCTCTGGCAATGGGCGAACCAACCAGGAACCGATTGTGCAACAAATAAGCAGGAAGAAATGGAGGTGCGTTGGCCATACTCTGAGAAATCAAACCATCAAGTGAGTGATATCACACACCAATCTCCCGCTCGAGTGGAACTAGAATGGGAAGTGGCGAGTTAGTTGACCGTCAGTGTGAGGGTGGGGTGACATGGAGGAGGTGATGTGAAGAGAAGATGAAAGCATGTGGGCAGACGTAGAGCCAGGTGAAAACGTTGGCAGAGAACCGAACGCAATGGAGACGTTCGGCTGAATTCCTATGTTCCTCTAGGAATTAAAGGAAACAATAATAATAAATAAAACGGAGATATATGGCTCTGATCCACCAAGGGAAAGAGCTCTCGAGTTGGTTAAGCTACAGGATGATACAACATGCTCGTCTCGTCTCGCAAGAGGCAGGGGGTAGGTGTGTTCAGTCCTTCTGAAAACAAATATCCAGTCAATGGATGTATCACGGCTCATTGGTTTCAGAACTCAAGTTCTAAACAAATAAGTCCCGAATTCGAGTCCCATCTCATTCTACTTACTCCAGCCTAGGTAGCATTATCAGCTGTCACACAATAAGTGTGATTAAAATTAATCTGGTTCCGGTTAATGTAATTCCAACTAATTAACTAACTAACTAACTACCTAACGTCAAAGATACTAAAAAGGTTTAAAATCACACTACCACCAACATAAATATTAGGTCAGTTCTGTTAAAATGAATATGGACATGAGAATAATGATTGACAGTGATTAGCAACTTAAACAAAATAGTATAAAGCATGCTGACACACATAAAGTGTGTAGACTCCTAATAGAATTCCTAAACAGATTTAAAAAAAACTTTAGAATATATCTTTCAACAGGTGTTAAAGATAGATTTGAACAATAAAACTCATGTTATGATTTTTTTCTGGATCTGCTTCCTCATTGAGGAGGGGGCATATCTGTTCCCGGTATAAATGAGGCTAACTGATTCGATGCATATTCAAGTGTTGGTGTGCAGGGATTTGATTTGATTCGTTACAGGATCTAGTCATAAGCTGACATCGGTTAGAGAAGCATTGGAAAAGCAGCCACGGAGTGCTGGACAGCTATTTCTGTAGTCCTAGTTTGGGACTATTCATCAGTACGCACCCAGTGGGGTTCGAACCCACGACCTTCCGGCTACAAGGCGGAACCCACAAACTCCCCGGGGTTCGAACCTCTGTGAGTGCGTATTGCTGGAGAGTCCCCAAACTAGGACTACAGAAACAGCTGTCCAGTACTCCCTGGCTGGTTTTCAAATGGTTCTCTAACCGATGTCAGCTCATGATGCAATCTTGATTTGATTTTGTTATGGAACATATTCCGTTGCTTACATGTGCAAGGATTGATGAGTCCTTTCTATGCAGCATTTAGGAAATAAAATAAAAAATGTGACTCAATGAACACTTGAACAACTCCATACAGTTGACAATGAGCCAAACCTAGTTTGTGTTGACCAATAGTACTATCCGGCTGCCTATAAATCTAAGTGATCAGAATATAAGTAGAAAACTTCGGCACTGTGGTAGAGTGTAACTCCACTATGGATAAGATTTTATTTTGATAAATCACACAGTGTGTTATACAGTAAGTAATATTTACTGGTGACCACGTTTCAAACACAAACTATCGCTGCTCGTAATCATATCAAGGCAATACTCACACAACTTTTTTCCTTCATTTATATAAATGCGTGGAACTGATGATTAGACATTTGAATAAAAATCAGCATAAGATAAAGTACATTCAGAAATAATAATATGAGTGTTATTGATCAATTACAATCAGATGGGAAATAAGACGAATGTTTATATGGTCAAAATAAGTAACTTGTTAGAATATTATGATGTATGTGAATTGAAATAGAATTTTGAGATTATTTATTATCCTCTTCTGATTTGACTGGTGGTAATAATATAATATAATATAATAATACAAACTCACTCAGAGACAAGCTCTGTAGGCTAAAAGACCCGGTGGACCCAATTAAACAAAGTAATATAATTTACAAAATACCCTGCAATGACTGTGAGTTAAGTCAACTAAATAGGTCAAACCAGTAGATCGGGGGTATTCAGATTGTCAGAACATAAGAATTTAGCTAAGGTAAGAATGGTTGACCCCAAGAACATAAGTAATTTAGATAAAAGCTCAGCAATTGCACTACATGTGTAACGACAGAAGGCAAGAGTCAGGCAACAGATCATTTATTAAGAAAATCAACGCATATTTATATATGTTTCCATGTACATTACTACGGATAAGTAAACAAACAAACACAGTCTTCCGATTGGTTGTTTCTCACGACAAATCATGGGAACGTAAATATTGACCTAAATTACTGTCTCCCAATTTGGCTAGTAGACAGCTCTCACCACACATGCATTAACACACAACCACACAATAGTATGGTGGGAGAAGGTTAAAATTCTAAGAAGTAATCTATGTAGGTGGAGAGAGAGATTGATTACTTAGTGAATCCTGGTTCATTGAGTCTACACCCAACACAACACATGCAACAGAAGTGACTCAATGCAAATACCAGAGATATGTATGGAAGATATTATTACCACCAGTCAGTCAAATCAGAAGAGGATAATAAATAGTCTTAAAATTCGATTTCAATTCAAACACATGATAACATTCTAACAAGTTACTTATTATGACTATAAAAACACTCGTCTTATTTCCCATCTGATTGTAATTGATCAATAACACTCATATTATTATTACTGAATGTACATTATGTCATATTGAATTTTATTCCAATATCTAGTCGATTCCACAGATATATATAAAAATTACAATTAGGAATGAGAATGCCATAATAAACAGGAGGACGGGTAAACCTCAAATAAAGTAGCATAATAACTAAGAAGACTGACATGAAGAAGTTTTTCTTTTCGACGAAGTCATCATCTAGGCTGTACATTCGTGTATTTATATCAAACTGGAACTTTCCCATACACATTTATATAAATGAAGGGAAAAGTTGTGTGAGTAGTGCCTTGATATGATTATTATGAGCAGCAGTAAGTTGTGCTCGAAACTTGGTCATCAGTTAATATTACTGTACAACAACACTGTGTGATTTATCAAAACAAAATCTTATCCATAATGGAGTTACTCTCACGTTTTCTATGTAAAACCGATAAGAGTAATTAGTAATTCTAATGTGAAATCATATTGGAGAGGAGATACGGACAAAAAGAGAGAGTGAGAGAGAGAGAGACAAACACTCATATACGCTTACTCTAATTTTTACTAACATGACCTCCCCCCACCCTCAATAAGGTCAACTCCAGTTAATCAATAAATTGTATATGTAAACAAAACAGAAAGTACATTCAAGTACATCCTACTGACAGGTCATGATTTACAGTTGACATTTATACAGTGTAAAAAAGATAAATCACACACACAAAAATAAACAGAATTGAATCTGATTAAGAATGAATCGCTTGAATTCAAAAAAGAAAACTTTGTATAATCAATTAAATGCATACCAGACAAATAAATAAACTCTAGCGGGCTGCTTAAAACTTGAGCTACCAAAAACCTTCCATCGCTCACACACACACTATTGCATATTATTATCTCTCGTCCTCTTTGTTTTAATCGATTAATATATCACCTCAACTGATGGTATTATCTACTCTTGTGTGTGTGTGTGTGTGTGTGTGTGTGTGTGTGTAGTTTTACAATGCTTACAAGCTTCTGTTTCGTAAGTTCCTTAATAAACTTGAGGAATGGCGTGATTGTGGGTATCGCAACATGTTCCAATACAACATGAGATAACTGTTCTTCAGTTGTGTATGTCCTTGGGTCTCACAATCTACTTCTGAACATCTTACATGGTTGGCTTTCAACTAGATACCGTGAGTTTCTTGAAGGAGACATATATATATATACACGACATACTCACTGGCGACTGGCCCTATTCAGGTAGGTAGTTACCTGGGGTTCCAGTGGGTAGTCGTGACCAGTAGGGTGCAGCAGGTCGGGTGTGAGGACAAATACTCGCCAAAGACATTGGCTAGAGGTTGCGCTATATCGTGAATTGGCAGAAGTTAGAATTCATGGGCTGGTGATTGGATCGGGTCCC